TTTCTAACATTATACTATATCTGCCTTTTTTAAAAACCATTCACTTAACATGTCCATATCCCTTTTCAGACCTGATGTTCTCAACGCAACTAGCTTTTCTGCCAGTCTTTGCATCATCAGTGAATTCAACGCACCATTATCAGCCAAATTCCAGTTACAATGTTGACCTTTTTTTTCCCCACTCCCCTCTGTTCTGTGGTCTCAACATTTCTCTTTCCCCAACCTGTTGTTGTGATTACTTTATTCTTTAGAATTTAACATCGCACTGGGTTTTTGTTGAACATGGAGAGGTTGTGTACGCGATATCTCAAAATGGAAAATAGTGAGAATGTCGGATATAATTCCAGTTTTTGAAGTAAATCTGATCTACATGTCAAGGTGTAATTAATACAGATGCAAATATCATAATGACTAGCTAGCTAACTAAATGTATGGAATAGATTCACAGCAATGAGCGAATCAGACTGAAGGTTATAAATTAGAGTAGACTATTTGACCTATTGAGCCTTCTCTACCATTCAGTCAGATCGTGGTCAATGTGATTGTGGCCTTAACAGCACTTGTTTGTCTGTCCCCTATAACCCATGACTCCCTAGTCAATCAGAATTTGTCTATTTCAGAGACCAATTCCACAACTTGGAACAAGTTGCTTTTCGATTGTAATAAAATGTATTAAATGGTACAGCTATAATTTACTTATTGCAACATATCTGTATTGCTAACTCCAGTTTTGCTCGTTATCAGCATACGAGAGAAAGTTTGGAATTGATCCCTGAATTTCACTTTACAGCTGAATTAGTGACTTGCGATTTTGGTTGAGCTTGTACAAGTATAATTTCTGTAGAATGTGTAGATACACTGACACCCCCACCCTCAAAACCAGCGCAGAAGATACCCTTTTATCACTCCCTGTATTTGATACAAATATGTTAACAACAGATGTTACATGTTCAGCATTATAATAGGAATAAACAAAATTCTGGTATCCTGTCTAAGAGCTGCTGGTTTACAAACTTAGAATCACTAAGTTGTGAAAGCGCTATAGGGACTTCAGTAGGAGATGTTGGTATTTAACGCTTGTTTTGGATAGATGAAGTTATTTGAACATGTTTGGAACTTGCGGAGAAAGAAAACAAAAGAACAAACTTAATACTATCTGCTGTATCCTGTTAAACTTTTCAAATGCATAATTCAGTCTGTCTCCCACCATCCTGCCCTTTCTGAAAATTCCTGTTGAGTTAATAATTAATGTGGTTAATTGGTCAAGCATTGTAATTGCCAACACTTTAATTCATTTAATGAGGAGCAATTTGTTACTTTAGCACTTCACATATTCATCTTTGAGGGATAATTTGGTCAGTGGTTTTCCAGGAAATATTATGATTGGATTATCTTTTGAGGAAGTATCTGGTCCTTCCAGTACTATCACTTAAATCGGTGAGTCTTGGCATGCTCTTATTATGAAAGACCCCAACAGCATCTGATCCTATTTGGTCATGGTGTTGGTGCATATGCTTTCATGTATGTTACTGAATTGCAATCTGGTTGAGGATTGCTAACTCTTTTTTATGCCTCCCTTACAAACATTCAATGGACAACTCTACAGTGACCTGCAGCTGAAGTGAGCTAATTCAGTGGTGTTGGGTGGATTTAACACCGCTTTCCTGGTCGATATGACTGAATTTCTAACTGGATGACCTTGTTCTTCAGATGAGGTTCTGAAATTCAAATGATGACGTATATAGGATATTGATTTAATAATCAAATGACAAGACACACAATAGATTTGATTTATTTATTAATTAATCAAATCTATAGTTTCTTGTCATTTGATTTATTATTGTCACATGCACCGTGATATTGAAAAGTATTGTTTTGTGTGCTATCCAGGCAAAGCATACCTTCATACGTACATCAGGATAGTAGAACAGAATGCAGAATACAGTGTTACAGCTGCAGAGAAGAAGCAGAGAAAGATCAACTTTAATAGAAGGTCTGTTCAAAAGTCTAATGGGGTCAGGGGGTGAAGAAGCTTTTCTTGAATCTCGGTAAATATTTTCAAACTCTTGTGTCTTTTGTCTGAAAGAAGAGGTTGGAAGAGGGTATAACCAGGGTGGGCGGGGTTGTTGATTATGTTGGCCGTTTCCCTGAGAGTGGGAAGTACAGACAGAGTTGATGGATGGAAGGCTGGTTTGCGTGATGGACTGGGCTGTGTTCACAACTCTGTAATTTCTTGCAGTCTTGAGCAGAGCAGTTGTCATGACAAGCTGTGATGAATCCAGATAGGATGCTTTCTATGGTGCATTGGCAGAAATTGGTAAGAGTCATTGTGGGCATGCAGAATTTTCTTAGCCTTCTGAGGAAGTAGAGGCGTTGGTGTGCTTTCTTGACTATAGTCTTGACGTGGATGGATCAAGTCAGATTGTTAATGATGTTTACTCCTAGGAACTTGAAGCTCTCGACTATCTCCACCTCAGCACCATTGATGCAGACAGGGGCGTGTACTCCACTCCACTTCCTGAAGTCAATGACCAACTCTTCATTTTGCTGACATTGAGGGGGGAGCTTGTTGTCTTTACACCATTCCACTAAGCGCTCTATCTCTATATGACTAAATTTCTAACTGGGTGACCTTGTTCTGTAAATGCTGTTCTGAAATCCAAATAACATATTATAGCAGATACTGAGGTTGATGTGCTGTGTGGTAACTCAAAGAGAAAGAACTACTAATTGTGGTTTGAATTCCATCGCAGTTTCAGTAATTTCAGTTTAATCAACATAATACAGCATTCTTTTATTTAACTGAATTTTTAAAGGGACAAAATTCAGAACTAAATTGCAAAATCGGGTTCTGTGAATTGATGTGCTGCAAGTCCCCATCTGTTATTGTAAACTGCAAGATTGAAGCTCGACTTTATAGAACCAAAGACCAAGTCAATTGAAGATCATCCCTGAACTGCAGTAAACCATACTAATGCATGGCATCTCCTGAGTTTTGAATAACCTCTGTTTTTGCCTCCGCTAACTTGCATGTGATTATTCCAACCTTTGGAGTAAATGAGTTCTTCCTGCAGTCTTTCTGTGTCGATGCATTAATTTGCTTCTGTGTTTACACTTGCATTTTTTTCAGTCAATATGTAATAGCTTACATTAATTGTTTTAAGTCTAAGTTACTGCAGTTGCATGCTTGATAAAATTGCTCATTACATTGCACTGTTCAGCTCCCAGCTGTTTATTTCATCTTTTGTATAAATGTGCTTACAGTTCAAGGCTTTTGCCAGCTGGAAATACACAATCTGTGCATTTACCTGAATTGCCATTGAATTCAGGATTTTTGTGTGCAAATATTTGTGAAACCATGGCATCAATCAACACAGCAGCATCAGTCCTGTGGAACAGATTCCGCACGTGAACAGATTTTGCCCCTTGACGTGAAAGGCGAAACAAGTGAATTTATTTCCGAAGTCAGAGTTTTACAGCACGGAGACAGGCCCTTTGGCCCAAACTGGTCCATGCTGACCAAAATGTCCATCCACGCTAAGCCCATTTCCCTGCACTTGGCCCATACCCTTCTGAACCTTTCCTATCCATGTATTTGTCCAAATGCCTTTTAAATGTTGTTAATGTACCCACTTCAACCATTTCCGCTGGCAGCTCATTCCATATGCGTGCCACCTGCTTTTTAAAATAAACAAGTTGCCCCCATATACACTTTCCGCTCTTACCTTAAACTGATGCTCTCTAGTACTCGATTCCCAAACCCTGCAAAAAAGACTGAGTGCATTCACCCTATTCCATGCCCCTCATGATCTTATACGCTTCTATAAGATCCCCCGTTCCGTCTCCTACGCTCCAAAGAAAAAAGTTAGTTTGTCCAACCTCTCCCTATAACTCAGTCCCTTGAGTCCTGGCAACATCGTTGTAAAATTCTTCTGCATTCTTTCCAGTTTAATAACATCCTTCCTATAGCAAGGTGACCAAAACTGAACCCAATGCTCCAAGTGCGGCCTCGCCAATGCCATGTACAATTGTATCATAACTTCCCAATCTCTATACTCACTGCCCTGACTGAAGGAGGCCTGTGTGCCAAAAGCCGCCTTCACTGCCCTGTCTACCTCTGATTCCGCTTTCAGAGAACAGTGCACCTGAACTCCAAGGTCCCTCTGTTCCACTGCATTCCTAAAGGCCCTACCATTCACCATGAAATACCTACTTGGATTTGACTTTCCAAAATACAACATCTCACACTTATCTATATGAAACGCCATTTGCCATTTCTCGGCCCACTTCCCCAGCTGATGAAGATCTTGTTGCAATTTCTGACAACCTTCCTCGCTGTGCACGATACCGCCTGTTTTAGTGCCATCTGCAAACTTACTAATCATACCTTGGACATTCTCATCCAAATCATCGATATAGATAACAAACAGCAATGGGCCCAGCACTGGCCCCTGAGGCAAACCACTAGTCACAGGCCTCCAGTCAGACAAGCATCCTTCCACTATTACCATCTGCTTCCATCAAGCCAATTGTGTATCCAATTTGCCAGCTCTCCCTGGATTCCATGTGATCTAACCTTCCAGAACAGCCTACCATGTGGAACCTTAGCAAAGGGCTTACTGAAATTCATATAGACTACATCTACCATCCTGCCCTCATCAACTTTCCTGGTCACTTCATCAGAGAACTCTAACAAATTTGTGAGGAATGATCTCCCACACACAAAGCCATGCTGACTACTCCTAATCAAACCCTGTCTTTCCAAATGCGTCACTAGATCTTAAATGGGATGTGTTTTAAACCAGCACACACAAACAACATTATTTAATGTTTTGTGTCGGAACATTCTCAACAGACATTTAACCAAAATCTGAACTTTAATGAGCTTCTCTCCATTATATGTTTGTGTTTGCCAGCTCGTGTAGTGCCTTTTTTTAGTTGCACCTGTAGCTTTAAATCACTAATTTGTCATGTTTTCTTTTTCTTCACTTTGTCTTTAGGTCAAACCAGAGTTCAACAGCTGGCGGAGAACACTCGGTACTTCAGAAGAAGACTGAAGGAAATGGGATTCATTATCTATGGAAATGATGATTCACCAGTCGTGCCTTTGATGCTGTACATGCCAGCTAAAATTGGGTAAATTAAAAACATACTTGGACTTTGTAGTATAGGCTTAGACTTTAACATTCCTTCAGCTGTCTGTACTAACAAAATTATTACCTTACTAGCTGTTTCACAAACTATCTCCACAAGAATGGAGCTTCAAATAAACCGAACAGATGAAATTAAAAATGAGCAGTGTTATTTTCCCCTTTTGCAATCTGGCAAACCACCTTGTAGTTTCTGTACTGTGTAGTCACCACGTCTCATCGAAAGGTTAATAACCATCAAAATTGCATGGATTTAGACTGTCTTACAAAGCTTGCACTGTCAATTAGGAGACGAGTGTATATAACACTGCCTTTTGCACTCTGGCTGCTCCCTAGTAGGGAGTCGGTAGTCTTTGTTGTGAATGGGGAAAGAAAGCAAAATCGGCCACATCCCTTTGCTGCAATGCTTCATCGTACCTTCTGACCATGGGAATTATTTTTTCTCTTGGACCCTCGGGATCAAAGTTTTTTTTTTTTAACACTACATTGTTGTGGGTGAAGTGACTAAATTGCTCACTGTTAGCCCACTTTCTTGCCACGATCGGGCCATTTGCTGAAGCAGGCAGATGAGATGCTCAGATTTCTCACTACTTCTGTTCTTTGTGCTTGGTCTTCATCTGAGCCTGTCATGTGAAACAGTTGAGACCTCGAGTGCTTTTCCCCAGTTTGGGCTGGAATTCTTATGACTTCGTGGTGCTGTTGCATTTTTTTAGGGGCTTTAAGGATACCATGTAGCTAGGTGAAGCTCAGTAAAGAACTTGTGTGTTTGGCATGCAGACAAAGCATGTACTTGGTTTAGAGATCAAGCCTCATTCTTTTGACTCTGGGGATGCAAAAGGTGTGAACTAAATTTGGGCACAGTACCTCTGGTAAAGAGATTTGATAAGCTGCACATTGAATCTAGAACAAGGTCACACCATCTCAGAATTAGGTCTTAGTCATACAGAACCGAGATGGAGAGAACTTTCAGTACTCTGAATCTTTGAAGTTCTCCACTTCAGAGATCTGGAGTACTCAGCTATGGAGTATACTGAAGGCTAAGATCAGTTTTTGGTTTCTTGGGATTTGGGGCTATGACAAGAGGGCACATGCAGAGTTGAGTCAGAATTCTATTGAATGGCAGAGCAGGTTTAAAGGGTTATATGGAGTGTGGCTCCCATTTCTCATTTTGATATATATTTTTGAGGTGGGTGAGAGGAGGAAAACCATAATAGGAGCAGGTTTAAGCCATTTGGCCCGTTGACTCTGCCCTGTCATTCAATCATGGCTGATATGGTTCTTGCCCCTGTTTTTATTCGTTCAGATGATATGGGCATTGCAGGCCAGGCCAACATTCACTGCCCATCCCTAATTGTCCAGATGGCAGTTGAGTCAACCACATTGTGTTCTGCCTTCTCCCTGTAACTTTTGATTCCCTTTCTAATCAAGAACCTATCTATCTGCTGTCTTAAAGACACTCTGACTTGGCCCCCACAACCTTCTGTGGCAATGAGTTCCACAGATTCACCCCCTCTGAATGAAGAAGTTTCTTCTCAGTTCAAAAGAGTTGCCCCTTTACTCTGAGGCTATGCTGTTAGGTTCTTGTCTCTCATCTCTCCTACTACTGGAAACGTCATCTCCACGTCCACTCTATCCAGGCCCCTCAATATTCTATAAGTTTCAATGAGATCTCCCCTTCATCCTTCTAAACTTCAAGTACAAACTCCAGAGTCCTCAACCACTTCTCATACAACAATGAGACAGCAAAGTAACGGCTCCCAAAATAATGTAGTAAAAGATTGAGTTAATTTCTATTGCGAAAACTTCAAGTTTAAGTTCCAGTCCAAACATTTGGCTTAATTTGAAAAATAATGTCTGTTCAAAGAATAAATCTTCAAGCTTCAAATTCTGAATCTTACATTCCAAGGTGAAATGCACTAAGTATTAAGCAGTTGCTGAGTATGGTTACTATTGGCTTTGTAATTTTAATTCTCAGTCAATTAATGATTAACTGGGGATTCACTTAAAAAGCTGCAACCGTCTGTTGTTTAGAGCAGTGAGATAGATGATGGATTTGAGACTTGGTGAATCTTGTGATCGTGAATAGTAATTTAATAGTAATCTGCAGTTTTTCCCCAAACTTAGCCTGAATTCAGAAAGTAACTTGTAGGTAAAAGCAGAAACATTGATCCTAATTGTTGTCACAACAGATTTTTACATATTAGTGAGAATGGAACCATGGTACACTGTCTAATCCTTTTTTAATATTCACCCATGGAATGTCAGTGTTGCTGGGTGGGTCAACACTTATTGCCCATCCATTGTTTTCCTTGAGAAGGTGATGATGAACTACCTTCATGAACTGTTGCATCCTGAGGTCTAGGTACACCTACAATGCTGTTAGAGGGAAGGAACAGCATTGTATTTCCAAGTAAAGTTGATAAGTAGCTTGGAGGGAACTTGAGGGTTGTGATTTCTTGTACCTGCTACCCAGTAGTAGTGATCATGGGTTTGGACAGTGCTGTTGAAGGAGCTTTGGTTTTCTGCAGAGTATCTTGCAGCTGGTGTACACTGCTGTTTCTGAATGTGCTGGTGGGAGTGAATGTTTATGGATGTGGTGCCTGTCAAGTGAACTTGTTGATAGGCACCACTCAAGCTGCTTGAGTGTTGTTGGAATTGCACTCATCTAGGTAAGTGGAGAGTATTCCATTACAGTCCTGATTTTGTGCCTTTTAGATGATGGACAGGCTTCGGGGAGTCGGGAGGCAACTTACTGCAAGATTTCTACCTTGTGACCTGCTCTGTAGCCACTCTATTTATATGGCTAGTCCAGCTCAATTTCTGGTCAATGATAACCACCTGGATGTTGGTAGTGGGGAATTAAATTGTGGTAATGCTATTGTATATTAAGGGGCACCTAACTGGATGTCTCTTTCACCATTTGAGACTGGGATCATTCCTATCTGGATACTAATAAGTTACTGAATAGAAAAATAGAGCTGATTTATTAGGAAAATAATGGTGTAAGACATAGATTAGGAAACATTTGGTGTACTTTGTGTAGATTTGGGCATTATTATCCCAGAATTTTGTACTACTGTACTGGGAAAGTAAGATTTCAGAATTAAATCAGCCTTCTCAAACATTTTTGTTTAATTAGTTAACAAAGATTCTTCTCTGAGACGACACTGACACTATGCTACAGATTTTCTTTCACATTGGAGGTTTACTACTCAAATTTTAAAAAGCTTTTTAAATATGGAAGGCAGACTCTAAGACACAGCAAATAAGTTTCAACTCAATTCCTGCAGCTATGCATTAGAGATGCATTTCCAGAGAAATTGCACTCTGTCTCACCTCTTCAGAGTTCTACTTTGCTTTGCTGTAGATTGTGGAGAAAATTTGATTAATCTTTCCAATTCTGCTGCTATGACCATTGTCCTTTTCTAATAATTTGCAGATTTCTAACCAAACTCTCCTGGTTTGAAATTTCACAAACTAAACTCTTCTGCCCAGTTGACTTGTCTCCTTAGCTGCTACTTGGAGATAACGCACCATGCTTTTAAACTCCATGCTCGTGCCTTCTGAACAGAACTGAAAACAAAGCTAAATGGCCTTGCATGTTTATTGTACTTGTTGTAATCCCAACAGTCTATGCACCGTAAGATATAGGAGCAGAATTAAGGCCATTTGATCATGGCTGATACATTTATTCAACCCTATTCTCCTGCCTTCTCCCTGTGACCCTTGATCCCTCATAATCAAGATCCTACTGATCTCTGCCTTAAATACACTCAATGACTCAGCCTCCAAGCTCTCTGCAGCAATGCATTCCACAGATGAACCATCCTCTGGTTGAAGAAATTCCTCCTCATCTCAGTTCTAAATGGTCGCCCCTCACTCTGAGGCTGTGCCCTCAGGTCCGAGTCTCTCCTAGTGGAAACATCTTCTCCACGTTCACTATATCTAAGCCTCTCCGTGTTCCGTAAGTTTCAATCAGCTCTTCCCTCATCCTTGTGAACTCCAAGTACAGACCCAGAGTCCTCAACCAATCCTCATATGACAAGCCCTTCATGCCCAGGATCATCTTTGTAAATCGCCTCCTCTAGACCCCCACAGCGCCAATACACCATTCCTTAGATACAGGGCTGAAAACTGCTCAATATTCCAAATGCAGTCTGACCAAAGCCTTGTGTAGCCTCAGCAGTACATCTCTGTTCTTGTATTCTGGACCTTTTTGAAATGAATGTTAACATTGCATTTGCCTTCCTAACTGCTAACTGAACCTGCATGTTAAGTAAGAGAATCTTGAACTAGGACTCCCAGTTGCTTTGTGCTTCAGGTTTCTGAAGCCTTTCCACATTTAGAAAATAGTCTGCTTTTTCCTTCCTACCATAGTGCATAATCTCTCACACTTTCCCACATTGTATTCTATCTGCAACCTCTTTGCCCTCTTGCCCAGTATGTCCAAATCCTTCTGCAGCCACCCTGCTTACTCGACACTACCCACCCCCTCCACTTATCTTTGTATCATAAGCAAACTTAGCAACAACGTCCTCAGTTCCTTCCTCCAGATCGTTAACATTTAACATGAATACTTGTGGTCCCAACATGGGCCCCTGTGGAACTCCACTAGTCACTGGCTGCCATCCTGAAAAAGACCCATTTATTCCCCCCACTCTGCCTTCTGCCAGTCAGCCAATCCTCTATCAATACCCATACCTCGCCACTAACACCATGGGCTCTTATCTTTTTAGCAATATCCTGTGAGGCCTTCTTGAAATACAAATAGATTGTGTCCACTGGCTCTCCTTTGTCCAGTTTGCTCATTACCTCAAAGAATTCTAACAGATTTGTCAGGCATCACCACCTATTGATGAAACCGTGTTGACTCAGCCCTATTTTACTGTGCACTTGGAAGAAATCAACAATCTCATCCTCAATAATGGACTGTAAAATCTTAGCAATGACCAAGGTCGGGCTAACTGGCCCGTGGTTTCCCATATTCTACTTCCTTTCCTTCTTAAACAGGGGTTTTACATTTTCCACTTTCTAAGCCTCTTGGACCCTCCCTGACTCCAGTGATTCCTGAAAGATTGCCACCAATCCTTCCACAATCTCCTAAGCTATCTCCTTCAGAGTTCTGGAGTATAACCCATCCGTCTGGGTGATTTATCTGCCTTCAAGACCTTTCAGCTTCCCTAGCACCCCCTTAGTGATGACTGCTACACTCACTTCTGCCCCTGACTCTCTTGAAGTTCTGACATATTGCTGGTATCTTCTACTGTGAAAACTGATGCAAAGTAGCTATTTGGTTCCTTCGTCATTTCTTTGTTTCCGTTACAACTCTCCAGCCTCATTTTCCAGTGGTCCAATGTCCACTCCTGCCTCTTATCTTTTGAATATTTTTTTAAAAAATAAATTTGCTGCAATCTTTTATATTGCTAGCTCACTCTTGGATTTCATCTTCTCCACCCCTCACTCCCCACCCACTGCTTTTTCTTTTAGTTATCCTCTGGTTTTTAAAGGCTTTCTAATCCTCTGGCTTCCCACTAATCTTCACCACATTATGCTTCTTGGTTTGATCTTATGCTGTTGCGGTCTTCCCTTGTCAGCCACAGTTGCCTGATCCTCCCCTTAGCATGTTTTGTCCTTGGGATGAATTTCTGGCATGCTTCCCAGATTACCCCAGAAATTACTGCCTTTGCTGCACCATCTTCCCTGCTGGACTGCCCTTCCAATCATCTCTGGCCAGCTCCTCTCTCATGACTTTGTAGTTAGCTTTATTCGATTGTAACAGCGTTAAATTTGATTAAATCTTCTCTCTGTAACTGCAGGGTGAATTCTATCATACTACAATCACTGATCTCTAGGGGTTCCTTCACCTTCAGCTCCCTAATCAATTCTGCCTCATTACGTTTCACTAAATCCAGAATTGCCTACTCCCTAGTGGGCTGTACCACAAGTTGCTCCATAAAACCATCCAGTTGACATTCCACAAACACCTTTTCTTGATCTGCTATCAACCTGATTTTTCCTAGTCCACCCGCATATTGAAGTCCTCCATAATTATTATAATAGTGCCTTTCTTGCCTGCCTTTTCTACCTCCTGATTTCTCTCCCCCGCATCTTGACTACAGCTAGGAGACCTGTAATTATGTTCCATCGGGGCCTATTCTCTTTGCAGTTCCTCAACTCTACACACAGATTCTATACCTTCCAACTCTATCACTTCATACTATCGTTTTAATTTCATTCCTTAGTAACAAGGAATCCCTGTCCCCTCTGCCTATTCTTTTAATGGGGTATGTATCCTGGAGTTTTAGTTCCTGATACCAACAGCATCATACCTGTCCGTTTTAATCTATGCTACAAGCTCACTTACCTTGTTGCATGCTTTTTAAGTACAACATCCTCAGTCCTGTGACTGCCCTCCTTCTCATTATTGTCCCCTTATCTGCTGTGCCTGAAGTTAAAATCCTGACCCTTTCCATACTCTGTCCTATTACTTGTTCTGGAAACTTTAACTTCCACTGACCACCCACTCACCACCCCCCCACCCCCTCACAATTTAGTTTAAAGCCTTACTTATGCGATCTGCCAGGACTCTGGTCCCACCGTGGTCCCTTCAGAATAGCTCCCACTTTTCCCTGTACTGGTGCCAATGTCTTGTGAATTTGAACCCGTCTCTCCCACACCAATCTTTGAGCCACATGTTTACCTCTTTAATCGTGTTTACCCTGTGCCAGTTTGCTCATGGCTCAAGTAGTAATCCAGAGATTATTACCTTTTTTGCTTCTGCATTTTAATTTAGCCCTAGCTGCGCTCATTCCCTCAACAGGACCTCCTTTCCTCTTCGTACCTGTGCAGTCAGTACCTGTGCGGACCATGACAGTTGTATCTTTCCCCTCCATTCCAAGTTCCTCTGCAGCCCAGATGAGAGAGCCTGAAATCAGGCGCACAGCTGTCAGGACTGCTGGCCACAAGTGTCTATTCCCTTGACTATACTATCCCCGCTTATAACTACACTTCTCTCTCCCTCTCGAATGGCTCCCTGTACTACAGTGCTGTGGTTAGTTTGCTTATCTTCCTGCCGCACGAGCAAGAATCTCAAACCAGTTAGACAAGCTCAAGGACTGAGGCTCCTTCAGCATTACCTCCTGGATCCCTTTACCTGCCTTGGTCATAGTCACACCCTTTGTCCCTTACCACTGACTGAATTTGAGGTAATTAATCTAAGGGGTGTGACTGCTTCTTGAAACAGTGTTAGGTAACTGACCCCTTCCCTGACATGTCAGTGTTCAAGGGTCAGAATCCACCTCAACTGAGCCAAGTTCCTCAAGGAACATCATGCAAGTACAACACATCACCTGACCCAGCATCTCTTTTTGCCTTGGTTCTTAATTTTGATTTTTTAAAAATTTGTACTGATCTGTAAGTATTTCCCCTATTTACCTTGTTTCTGAAATTAACATAATAATATATAGTCTAATTGGTAGCACTCAGCAACCAAGGAACTTATGGTTTACCTTTGTCATTCTTTTGTGCTGGATCTCTGATCCTGGGCTTCAATTTATCCTTTGTCAAAATAAAACACCTTACAAACTATGAACCAAGCAAAAAGCACCTCTCCTCTGCATGAATTCCCACATTGCCACCAAATTCTCTGAACTATATACTCGGTGGGGCTGTGTCTCACTCTGGATGTGATCTCTCCTTCGTGACCGTGCGAAGCTTACTCAGCCTTCCTAAGCATACTTTCTGAAGAAGTCTCACTGAACTTGAAACATTAACTGTTTCTCTCGCCACAATGCCAGACCTGCTGAATTTCTCCAGCATAAATTAAATTTGAATTCCAGCATCCATAATATTTTGCATTTATTTGAGTGTAAACATTTTTGTTAACACCAGAGGGGCCTCAGTCACCTGCTTTGAAAAATATTGAATTTAATCACTATGCTGCAAAGACACTCTGAGCTTTCTTTTTAAAAAGAAAGGTCATTCACGGAAGGAGCCAACACCCACCTCCCTCTATTTTGAAATCCAAGTTACTAAAATGATAATACTTGTAATTTACACACATTTCATCATAGTATTTAAGTTTAGGATCAACATTGAAGTTGAGATTTTACTTCCATCTTTCAAAAGGATGCTGGTCTTGCCAACATGACCTACAATTCTACTCCTTAATTGACTTTAAACAAAGTGGCTTGCTCAGCTTTTTCAGAGGGCAGTTAAGAGTCATCCACTTTGCTGTGGATCTGGACTAGTGTGTAGGCCAGACCAGGCAAGGATGGTAAACTTCCTTCCCCCAAGTGCATCGGTGAACCCAGACGTGTTTTTACAAAAATCAGCAGTAGTTTTGTGGCCACCATTTAATTGAATTTAAATCCTCTTCGTTGCTGTGGGATTTGGATCTGTGCCCACAGTGTTATCTTGGGCCTCTGGATTACTAGTCACCATAAATTGAATACTTACTGTGACAGCAGGCAGATGATGCAAATATCAAACGCTTGGGGGGGAAACTAGAATTTAAGTGGGCAGTTAAAATGTGTGGTGGGAGAGATGTAATTATTCAAAGTTCCGATGTCATAGGGGAATTAAAACTGCAAGATTAGTTCTGCTAATGGGTAAATTGGTTGTAAGCCTGAGTTTACGATCCGCATTAAAACTACAAAGTGAGTAGTTGGAACAAATGATTTTGCACATGATTCCTCAAATATGGAATGCATTATCACCATTGCCTATTAAAGTTGAGTTAATAACACAGTTTAATCAAAATCCTGCTTAAAATGTGAATTAATTTGAGTTAATTCTGTCCTAAAACACTTTTTAAGCAAACAAGGATAGCCTGGAAGAATTGACCTGTCGATGTGTGGAGGCTATTTTTGGTGAATTGCACTAACATTGGATTGTCAGCACAAACTAATAAATGGTCCTGCTAACTATCTTATCGAAAGTTGTCTTTTGAAACAATTACCCACTTGGGGCACAAAGTATTATTGCAGAGATACCACAGGGTTCTTTGCTACCGTTCTAGAACTGCTGTCTCAACGATGAAGCTTGCAAGGTGTCTGACCAATTGTTTTTATGCCATAGTTTCAGAAAAAAAGCTGTTTTCAAGAAAACTTGAAGCCTGAAGTGTATATATTATTTCTGCAGTGCTTTTGGGCGAGAAATGCTGAAAAGAAATGTTGGTGTTGTGGTGGTTGGATTTCCTGCTACTCCAATCATTGAATCCCGAGCCAGGTTTTGTGTATCTGCTGCTCATACCAGAGAGATGCTGGATACAGTAAGTTTTTTTTTTTTCTATTTTTAAAACTAATCTATTTCCTTACAGACTAGTTGAGAATAAATTTTGTGTTTATACTGTTTTCAGTTCTGGGTGTGTTTCAACGCTGAAGTGACCTCATTCCAAATGTTCTTAATGTCATTCAATTCACTTTGAAATAATGTTCAAGCCTTTTTGCAGCAGCCAATCTCTTAAATTGAGTTGTAATAGAAGGTGTATCCTTTCAATATTGATTTTCACTTCAACATGAAAAATATCAGATTTCCTAAATCTTGTATATTAGGTACAAAAGGCAGTGATAATCTTCTTCTGTTTAATATCATCAAAGCTTCTAATTGGAAATGAACATTGTGTTGCAAGTTATTTAGCTAATAAAAGGTTTAATTTGATACTATAATTGCTATATAGGGACAATTTCTCAAGTTTTATTTCATAGCTAAATAGGCATAATAAATTCTTGAATTTGGAGGCACGATTTGAGAAGTTAAATACCCTTGATTTGTTCTTAGTTTTTCCCCTGCTGCTCCCAAGATGGCTCCAAGCACTCCTATCATGAAACAATAATGTTGAGTTCCATGTGAATTTTATGCTTGAAAAATTGACTCTTCATAAACCCAGGACATCCCAGCTGAAATAATTGTGTGGTTGCTGTTGTAATGTAAAAAACAGCAGCCAGTTTGAGCACAGCAAGCTTTCTCAAACAATGATGTGGAAATAACTGGATAATCTGTTTTCTCTTGAAGCTTAATGGTTGAGGGATAGATATTGGCCAGGATACGAGGGAAAGCATCTTTTGCATTCACCTAAGATCCTATCAGGCTTTGCTTAGATGTCTTATCAGAAAAATTACATTTCTACAGTGAAACATTCCCACAGCTGTGCCCTGAAGCATCAATGTGGAATTTAAAGGGCAGATTATAGAACTGAAGCAAATGAGCCTAATTAGGAGGGAGCAAACAAAATAGATACAAAACTGAGCCATGAAGAACCGTTCAATGGTTACACTACTCAAGTAGGCTGGGAGCTGATAGTCAGGTAACTTGAGTGAAATGCCCAAAGTGGAGCGAGATTAAATTTGAGGGTAATAGAGCAGGAGAGGTGAGTCTGTGAAACAGTTTGATAGTGAGAATTTTAAATTTGAAACGCTGAGGAACAGCCATCTGCTATGGGTCGGTAAGCAGTCGCTGATTATTGAGGTAGCAGTCATTTCCTGATATTGTACAAATGCCCTAAGTAACTTTGTGTCTGAAACTTTTGATGACCTTGTCCCTTTTTATGAATCATAGCATCTTGTCCGAGTTACTGTTTAATGGCATTTTCTTTTTGGGCACTTCGTTTTTGCTGTTTTATTGTTGGATGACATTTACAGAGCCAAATGCTGAGATACGGTAACTGCGTTTTTAGAAATGCTGTTGAAAGGGTAAAAACTGGGTATGTTTTTAAGCAATTACTTTGAAATACTTAACTAACAAAACACTTATGTAATGAAACACTTAAGCTTTCTAATTGAGATTTTTGGCCAAAGATGAAAGTTAATAATCAAACAATCTAACTCCCTAAGGACCAAGTACCTTAACATTGAAAATATATTACCAGTATTCCTACAAGTGTGCACTCCTAAGTTATATTCTCTTTGTAGTTTTGCAATCATACGGTGTTTTATTTTAAATTAGAAGCCTATTATCCTGAAGTTCATTTTAAAAAAACTTCACATTTTATTTAAACAAAATATTAAATCACTACCACATGGTCATGGTAATTTTGTCCAAAAAGAGTCTCCTACTACACAGTTTGAATTTAGGGTTTTAAGCATTTGTGCTAAAGTTTCAAGATTCATTGAATGAGCCCCATATAATTGTCAAAGGATGTAATATGCTATATTTAATTGGTATGCACTTAGATGAACTGTTCACTCCATTTTTGTATTGTTTCATTCAAGAAAGTGCAGAGTCTGGGTATTTTGCTTTACTTTACTTTTGATTATGCCCCATCATTTCCCACTAAGGTCAATAGCCAGTTCTGATTATGAAGGGACCGCTCTTATTGAAATGTCTCTTTACTGTACTTAAAGTAAGACTTTTGCAGCGATAACATCACCTAGTGAGAGAGGAACTATTCTGTATGTTTCATTGTTTCACCATAAATTAGGCTCGGTGGAAGAAAATTACAGTTGCAAAATCTGGTCCCACAGATCTCTTTGTGATAGAAACACAGAAAATAGAACCTTCTCCATCATTCATTATGATCCTGACTGAGTGACCCAGATGGATTTTTATGACAATTGACCATGTACACTAATTCCAGATTTATGTCTTTGTCTAGTCTGAGAGGAAGATCTTGGGTATTAATTGGATTACCTTATGGCTTTATCTGTCTTCTGTTAAAGTTACACTCTTAATAATAAATTGCTACTGTTTAAGTTATAAACTTGGTGTTCAAGATCTGTTGTTTGTAAAGTTTGGTTAGGAACAGTTGAGCAATTTTGAGGGTCTTCGTTTTAATTTTACCATGCCTGATTTAGTTTGACTTGCAATCCCTGTGATATAATATTTGAAACTAACATGCAATTACTAAATTGCTTGGAAGGCTTTTATAATGAGTCTTGAGACTTTGGTCTTAGTTGCCAAGGTCCTATCTTGGCCTTCTCAAATTTATCTAGTTTGTGTAGGTGAAGGTCTCTAGGTTTTTAATATTTATTTGCAGATTTCATCATTTTGTTGAATACTATGTTTCATCATGAATGCTACGTTCAATTCTTAAGCACTAAAAGTTTAAAATTGTACTGTTTGAGCAATATTTCATTGTTTCTTCAGCATATGAAATATTGGATATTTACCAGCTTAGAAACTCTAATCTAAAATTTCAGCAATAAAGTGAATTTTGTTTAGCGGTTGTGAGCCAGTTCAAAATCTGCGGAGCAGTTCTCAAATAATTACTCTAATGGTCCATCAATGTTTTTAATTATCGATTTTAATTTCATTTGGAAGCACTCTGCAATGTTTGAATGTTGGGCTTTGATGCATCTCTAAATTATCGGTCAATATTTTCCCTGGACCTCGCCGTTGTACTGCTAACCTCATGTTTTGCAAGCTCCAGAGCTCTTGCCAGGACTTATCTATGCTGTTGTATCATATTTGCAGATGCTCACATTACCCTGCTGCTTAAAATTAGACATACTTAAAATTTTGTTTGCCTTCCCACCGGTAAGAGTTTTACTTTATAATTATAGCCCAAATGTTAATCTAAAAATAATGATATCCAAAGCAGGGGAGTGTTCCTTTTGTCCTAGCCAATATTTATCCCCTAACTAATTTCACTTTAAATGAAAAACATTCTGTTTAGCATCATAGTGATTGTTTGGAGCTATTTGTGTGCAAATTGGCTGCCACATTTTCAAAATTATGTATCTGTACTAAAGCCACTGATGTCAGAATAGATCCTGTAGGTTTTTCTTAGCCTTTTGGATGCCACAAACAAGATAAGTCAGCTGCTTATAGATCTGCTGAGACTAACTTTGGGAGTGAGGAGTATAGTCTGATTAGAACAACTGGCCAGTCACATCTTTGGTCATTACTACTGTTGTATATTTCTTTTTAAAGAACAGACATCTGATCAGGAAAACAGTTCATTGAACATTGTTTAATATTCTAATGTTTTACCTTTGGTTTTCTTTAGGTTTTAAAAGTAATAGGAGAAGTTGGTGATCTCTTGCAGTTGAAATATTCACGACACAAATTGGACCCTTTACTTGACTGTCCATTTGATGAAACCATGTATGAAGAAAACAAAGACTGAGCTCTGCCCCAGTTGGACAAACGTTTGCAAGTCCAAATCTCTCTTTTCAGTTAGATACCACTCTGCTTCTTTGTGCTTCAAATCTTCACACCTATTTATATTTTTTAAAACCCAAGTCGAACTTGAAGGTGTTGAATAAGTCCTCATCCACTAAAGCCATTTTGTGTTTTGTTACCTGGAGCTACGTATGCAGCTTTTCGGCATTGACTTTATTTGCTGAGAAATCAAAAGAACGTGCATTTGCTTCTCCTGAAAGAGTTTCTCCCCTTAAACTCTGTCAACAATAAGCTACTACACAAATATAATCAGTTTATTGGCAAGATGGAGCCACTGTTCACAGTATGAAATCTCTGAATCTTTTTGGAATGGTTTGAGTAACTCCATACATACCACATTCCTCTTTTCTCTTTCCTCCCTCCACACAAGATTTTATTTCTTCTAAATGTACTTGCTAACTATGCTGGTCTTGATCTTTCATATAATTGACACAATAAGAATCTTCAAAAGGTGAGGTGGGACGGTGGCTTTGAAAAGCTGTTTAGAATAACTTGCAATGATCCAATTCATTTTATATTTCTGTTCACATACAATCAGAGACCAATTAAGAACTCCTGAGGCTAAAGCTGATGTTGGCTAGCCCTGAATTGCCAATTAATTAATTGTTGCTGAAAATAGCACCGATTCTGTCTGTACAACTGTTTAGGTTGCTTTTACCTCATTTCAAAGAAGGTGCTCCCTCCCCTCAGCTTCACAAAAGCTTTATTTTTTTAAAATTTAGTCCACTTGTGTGTGCAATTTAGCATTCAAAGTACAGTTGATTAAAACTACCAAATATGAAGGTAATGCTAGAAGTTTTTAAAATCTGAAATGAAATTTTGAAGTGTATGGAGTTTGTTGAAAGCTGGACCTTTGTATCTCAAGCAATAGAATCTTTGGACATTAAGTAGGAAATTAGGATTTTGTTTATATCTTTGTTCTGGAAATTTTATTTGGAGATTGTGGTAACTTAATTTACCTGTATATTAAAAATCTCAAATTTCACCCAAAATTGAAATCATCAGGTCACCACTGTCTCCTGAGCTGTGTAATCTTAAGACCCCAAATAATGCAACAAAACAGTTCCTCATCTTCCTCCTTCCCACAAGATTTATTTCACTAGTGACCACTGAGATGTGAGAACACCCTTATCTGAAACAGAAAAAGATTTCTACCGCACGTATAAAATAAGTATTTTACAGACACTCCGTTCAGTATGTATCCACGCATGAAAAGTGCTGCAGTTGAGCTTCATGGTGCATAGCCTGACTCCTAGGGAATTGATACATTTACGCCGCTGTCAGTTAGTATTTTCAATATTTGTTATTGCATCTGTTGATTTTACTGTGGGAGAGGGGAGGGAGGATTGTTACAATTTCAGCATTTTTTCCTGCACAAGATATTGCTGGGTGAAAATGAAGTTTTCTGAAAAAAAGAAAATGGACAGAGCTCCATGTTCCAGATCTTGTATTCAGTATTAGGTTTATCATTGCTGAGGACTAGCCTGAAAATTTAGGCCATGTGTGTCTTTGCATGTGATATTGTAATACTGGAAGGAGTTTTTGCACACAGCTCTATGACTATTTTAAATTCTTTCAGATTTGGAGTAAATGGCCACAGGTATGGTCTCTGCACAAATAATGTAGATATTGCCATAAATGCCTCACAGGCAGTTGGTATGTCTGCAGAATTCTGCATCTTTTATGTTTTAAGTTGATGGACGTACTAAAGGGAATGCACTGTGGCATGTTTATAAGTCTACTAGCCACTGGTTTAACCTGTAAAAGATTGCGGAGAAAGTGAGAGGATATAAGTGGTGCTGGAGTGCAGAGGTTGAGAAATGCCCTCCGATGTTGAATGTACTGGTAGTGTACCTCTCATTTCTGTATTGTATGTTTAGTTGCCAGACCTCAGGAATAGTCCTTATTATCCTGTTTATAACTGGTGGATCCCCAGTAACTTGATTGTTAAATGTACTGTGCGGTCAGTGTGATGCTGATACTGTATTGTGTCCAGTGAACCCCTCCTGAAACACATGGATTTTGGGTGAGGACAGGATCATGCAACCCACTCACCTCAAAATTCACTTCTGAGGTGTGTGTATTGAAGGTTGGTGCTTTGGGTGAGGTACCAGAGAGCAGCTATTGCCTGTGAAATTAAACCCCATTATAGTATAAGTCCGTGCTTTCAGTATGAAAAGAGCTAGAAGTGAAGAGAGGGAAATTGAGTCCACAGATTTGCCAGATAGTTGGCTAAGCCAGGGATGCAGAATAAAAATGATTTTGCAACCCATTTTCCCCCAAATTTGAATTGACTGTGTAGTATTTCATTTGTCATGATGAGGAAAATGCTGGTGAATCCTAACAGTGCCAGATCCAATGCCATCATCATGTTCTTTTTCTTATTTCAAATCAGCAATTTGAAATCGCTCCACTTTTTATTTTTCTAACTCCAGATCAGTTCAAGCATATTACAAATCTCACTTAAGTTTAAGGGATGACGTACCATGTGAAATACTAGCAACTTTTTGTATTAAAATAAGCAATCAAGAATTGTTTTGTTATTAATTGGGTTCCTTTTCTGCTTAAATTGATTTAAGCAGCAGATCATTGTAAGCAAATGCAGCTTTAGTTTCTCTGGGGAAGTATTCACTTTTGTTTTTAAGGAAGAAAAGATTTAATATAATTATTGTACTATTAAAATGTAGTTTGAGTTCTCCATGTTTCAAGCTGTGTTCATGGGCTGTCACTAAGGCTGCTTATGTAACATATTCTAAATGGTGCTTTCGTTATTAAGTAACTCTGGATCAATCAGTTAAATTAATTATACAATTATGTTCTCATAGTTCTGCCATTCCAAATTAATATTGTCTCTTTCTCCTCTTGCTAGGAAGGCATAGTTATGGTTATTACACTTTTTTAATTCTATCTAGTTTTTTGCTCCATTAGTCTTGCCCCAAGCAAAGTATTACTATAGAGTCAGTTATTTTGTTTTCCAACTGCTTTACTGCAAGTCCTGTGAGTTTTCTTTTTTCCAATGCAATACCAACTTCTGATGCACTTTCTCAACCACACCTTCTACATTTCATTTTGTCTGCTATCTTTTGATTAGCTTTTGTATTGTATAGCAAGTTTGTGTCCCCCCCCGACTTTGCATTGGGAAATGCGGAAATATCGCTGCTTTTTGGTGAAGTTTGCTATTAAGCATAAACTTGTCATCGGAGAGGAGTTGATTTGAAATGTAATGTCCAGTTGACTTGCAAAAAGGAGAAATCTGTTCACGATTGCTCATCTACATTGAAGCTTTCCACCTGATCTTGACTTTTTATAAGCTTTGTAAAAGGTGTGATTGCTTATTGCCTCCTTTTAAGATTAATTCATAAGTATCTTTTCTGTTTAAATGCACAACAATTAAGCACTCCTATGAAAGTCAGCTTGTCACTATGGTAGAGCAGGTTCCCTATGCAAAGTATTTTTTCACAAGTAAACAGCAACGGTTCAGTAAACAATGCTGGAAGAACATTTATTTTCCACCTTCAACTTCCTTGATAGCATATGTTTGTAGCTCAAAAATTTTCACATTTCTGGCTGTAGAAATACAGATTGTTTTCTATTGATTATGGCCATTGTCATCTCCGCTTGGGCATCAAATATGCAATGGCCTCGCTTTCTGGAAAATCCTATCAAAGGGTATGCTGGGAGAGAAAAAAATTTCCTAGGTAGTCTGTCAGAGCAGCTAGTTTAAGGAAATGATGCCTGACTGAGAGTTTGAAGAGTATAATTTCCAGGTAGTTCCATAAATGCTGTGAACAGATGCAGGCAGCAGTAAGAAGTGTTATCCTGCTGCAACATGTTTTGTTTAAACCAATTTTTTACTGTACATTTTTGACAGTGCATGCAAATAATCCTGGCTAACACAATGTCACTAATTTCATGGAAAGCTATAGTGGGGGTAGTGTGTTAGAGATTGGGAAGGGTACTGCAACATTCTCCCATGTTGCACATGTCCATATAAAAACAAGCTTTCATTTTATCACAACCTTTAATCCTTGTATATTGACATATTACAAAGTATGATTTGCAAACCTCAAAATCACATTTGAAAGTTCAATGTACTGAAAACAATCTTTTCACTATGATGTCTTATATTTGTACATTCATAAATCTATCACTGGTCATCAATGTTGCTTTAACTTTAAGATGACTAATTTTTTTTCTCATTGTCCCGTGAATTTTAAGCTCACAAGTGCAGTTATTTTTAGCTGTGTGATCAGGATGCTGCCAATTCTAGACAAGTCGGTGGTTGTACTTAACCAGTTGACAGTCAAGGCAGTTATGAAAGACCATACAAGAGACCCTTACATAGGCCTACGGCATGTTGAAACTATGCAGACTTTTTTTAATACACAATAGAACTTTTCATAGTGTTTGTTTTTTTTAAGAAAAGTTACTTTCCTTGTTGGGGAAATGTTTTTTTTAAATTGGATAATTCGTTGGAAGCTGATTAACACAAGTTCATGTACAGCACCTTCTGTATGTGAGCAGGCTCTAGAAGTGCACCTTTTATTTATCTCCTGAAGATGCCACAGTGCACTTGTTAGCATCACAGAGAGTGCACTCTCAATCTCTGCCATGCCGTCATGAAAGGGAAGAGAAAAATGTTATGTGCCCACCTCATGTTAGCCAGCTAATGCCATGGAGAGGACACATGTCTAATTTCTTTGCCAACGAATGGTAATGGTCTTGAGGCATCCACTGATGGGGCAGCAATTATCAGGAAATTGTTTTGAAAATTTCAGTGCACTGGTTTATCGGTGCAACTAGAGCTTCAAAAGAATGTTTTTGTTAATGCATTTAATCTAGTCTTGAAACACTACCGATTGAAACAACAGCTGTAAACTCTGTACTCGGGCTGTGGCTACAGAGGCCTGCTGTGCCACCTTCTGCAAGGAAGTTTCAAAATCAGTTGGTCATTTTTCTCACAGGTGTTTTTGCTAACTTGCACTAAAAAAAGACTGTTCGATTTAAGAATTAAACGTATCTTTTTCCAATGTTTCACGTCGGCTGCCAATGCATAGTCTTCTCTTAAACTGTTTTGAGGAAAAGGATGACTGTTACATCTTAATGCCGATAGGTAAGGATTGTACAGGTTTGCACTCTTCAGGCATGAAAAGACTTCTCCAACTTCCTTAAAATAAAGGAAGTGCTTCTTGCAGGGCGGACCAAGAAGGGCACTGTAAAATGGTGTGTAATCAGGAGGTAGTAATTGCTGGATACATTTTGGGAGTCTCAACTGTCAACTGCAGTAGTGCCTTGTTAAGTAGCATATTGTTGAGTTTTATTTAGATTGTGAACTGGGATATTAGAAAAGGAAGAGAAGAAATTGAATGCCAGTCTTTTTTTTTTGTTGTACTGTACCATGTTAGTTACCAAACATACTCAGACATGTCTACTCAACATAATGACTTGATTTATTGTTGGATTTAAAAGGTTGATGCTCGTTTGTGGCATTGTGTGTTGATGTTTGGACAGTGTTGACTGTAGTTATGCAAACTAATATGTATCGCAGGAATGTCTGAGTAACTAACCTCTTCCTGTGTTCTGGTATTGCTAAAGTAAGGCAGGTGAAGTATTTCTAATAGGACCAGATAAATACTAATGTTGACTTTGCTGGCATAGCAGTATTTTACCCATTTGCAGAGGTAGCAAGGATTGTTATAACTTTCGTTCAGTTTGCTTTTCTGTTGAAAAACAGGATGACCATTGCCCAAATGCAATTTAAGAACATAAATGTGTACCTTTGGAATCCTAATTTTTGTCAATTTTGATGCCCACAATGCTCCCTGGATTATAAATTAGTATCTTGATTTGTCATTGTGTGCTGTGGTAGATACTGTGTCGAGCTATAGATGCAGTTCCATCATTTTAAGCAATCTTTGAACTTACTTATTGCAAGAAATCAAAACGTCCGTTTGATAAAGCGCTGTTTATTCTGTGAACATATTGTGAAATCAAAGGCAGAACCACCTTTATTCAAATGTGTTCTTGCTGCATATTTTGTACTAAGCATCCTAATAACTTTGGCTTCAGATTAGGAATGATTTTGTTTGTTACTTAAATCAAGGCCAAGAAAAGAGTTCTTCGTGTGTTCTAAAAATGATAAAACACAAATCTCCGAACCGGCGTGCAGCCAGCCAAATACAACCATGTTCATGACACTCGATTTAAGGATAAAATGAAATCGGTTAATTCCTGTATCTTGAAAAATGTTTTTTTTTTAAATGACGATTGAAGGATCCTCTTTGCCTTTATCTACGTTTTTCTCATTGATTTGGTTAATAATTACTTAATGTTTTTTGTGATTTGTATGAATTTTAACCTGGAATGACTGAAGGTTGCATTGATATTTGTAACAAAAGTCTCTACATTTTTCCCAGGATAGAAGAAAATCCAATATTTATTGAGAATTTGGAAATCTTTGAGTGACTTCACCCCTTCACATTTTATTTGTTGTGGGATGGAGGGGAGCAATGGGAAGAAATGAAGTTGCCCTTAGAAATTCTGTCTGCCTCTGCACACTTCAGCAATCAAATGTTTCAATTTGGTTTGCTTTTCACATTTGAATGATCTTGGTCCCAGTGGTGGAATACCATTTGCAGTGTATTATAAATGCAATTAATATCCCTTACTGTTTCTGTACATATCCTGGTCTTTTGTACATGAGATGTTATAAATGTACTTTTTTGATGGGACTCAATGCAGTAGTGTTTTATATTGGAACCTTCTTTGCCTTTTACCTTGAATGTGGTTTTACATATATCATTGGTTTATGAAAGTGTAATTTATTCATGCATTCTGGTGCATGTTGAAAACACTGGAGAATCGATAACTGCTTGAAAAATGTCAACTGAAATGTATGTTCTAAATAAAAACTTTCAATATGTTTTGCGTTATGTCATTTATACAGGATGGATTTGTACTGTATGAAGACACTTGCACTTCATCTCTATTGAAGCTTTTGCCACTACCTTTCCAATCCAGCAAGTTCTGTGTTTAACATTGTTGTATTCCAATGTCACTTCTGTAGAGTTAAAGACCACTGACTTTGACATGTTGTAAAAGTTTATTTTTGGGGTAAAAATAACCATCCAGTAAATTTTTACTTTTAACACATAGAAGGTTTTCTGTCTTCAGTGTAGTTTTTGCACAGAGTGTAGAGATAGTGATGGCTTACATTCTGCAAACTACAGTGTTTTTTTGCCACAGTATAGTAACCTAATTTGATATGGACAGAGAGCAGGTGTATGTACAGGTGGTTAGACCAACAGAATATCTCATTGTATCATCAGCTCCTTATTCTTAATATTTGATTCCTTCATCTGCCCCCAATCCTTTCCATGGCTTTATATTTATCGCAAACTACTTCCAGTTCAAGAATGATGCTCCTTCATCAGAACTGTGACCTATTTCTCGCTACACAAGCTGTCAGATTTGCTGAGGGTTTTCAGCATTTTGTTTTCTTTTAATCTCCCAAAGGGTGACTTGTTTTCAATTAATATGTCATCACTTGTAGGGAAGAAGCACCATCTGAAGATGATGAAGCCTTTCTTTGTGCTTGCCTCATGTATTCATTTGTAATGCAGGATGTGGACCTCACTGGCAAGGCCAACATTTTATTGCCAGTTGAGAACTGCTTGAATCCTGGGAACCAAACCTTAGGAAGGACATATTGGCCTTGGAGGGAGTACAACAAAGGTTTACAAGACTGATACCTGGACTTCAAAGCTTATGAGGTGAGATTATACAAATTTTTGTAGAATTTAGAAAGTTAATTTGATTGAAGTTTTCAAGATATTAATAGGGAAATACAGGGCAGATAAATATAAAGCATTTCCATTGGTTGGAGATTCTAGAACTAGGGGCACAGTCTAAAAATTAGGGCCAAACTGTTCAGAAGAGATGTTAGGAACCATTTCTTCACATAATGGATCTCTTCAACAATTGGCAGTTGATGCTAGACTGGTTGACAGTTTTAAATCTGAGATATCAAGGAATATGGCCAAAGGCAGGTATACGGAGTTAGACCACAGATCAGCCATGGATCTCATTGAATGGCGGCACAGGCTCAAGGGGCTGAATACCTACTGTTCTATGCAAGATGGTTGTGAGCCACCTTGATACACCTCAGTCTCTTGGTTAGGCTGTGTCACGCAACAGTTGAATCAACTACATTGATGAATCTGGAATCGTGTGACAAATTTCCTTCCCTGATGCATCTGAGTAAATCAAAAGGTTTTTAATAACAATTCAGTAGTTCCATAATTATCACTACTGATGCTAGCAGACTTTAATGCCAGATTTATTTCATGTGACTCAATTTTTAAATTCTCTAGCTACCTTAGTGGAGTTTGAACTCTTATCTCCAAATATTAGTCCAGTAATATAGCTGTTACTGTATCCCTGTAAACGTCCAGCTTTCATAAAGGTGCATGATGTGTCAAATGTTAAACAGCCATGTTTAGAGAGCTTTACTGCATATCTAAATGATTAGCATAGCATTACAGACTGGTTACAGCACAGGAAGAGGCCCATTGGGCCATTGTGTCAATGACAACTCCCTGACAGAGCAACTCAATCAGATGACTTCACTCCCCAATCCTAAATAGATGGATTTTTAGATTTCAAAGGCATCAAGGGGTATGAAGAGACAACAGGAATATGGCATTGAGTTGGAGAATCAGCAATGAAGATTGTCACTGAAGATTATTGAGAAAGCTTCAGCCTTATCTTCTGTACAGATGTTCTGGGCTCTTCCATCATTGGGGATATTTGTGGAGCCTCTTTTTCCAGTGAGTTGTTTAATTGTCCACTACCATTTACAACTGGATGTGGCAGGACTTGTAGAGCTCAGATCTGATGGGATCGCTTTGGGATAATGGAATAGCTATGTCTTATCACTTGCTGCTTATGCTGTTTGGCATGCAGGTAGTCCTGTTTGGTAGCTTCACCAGGTTCACACCTCATTTTCACCTCACACCTGGTGCTGCTCTTGGAATGCCCTCCTGCACTCTGCATTGAACCAAGGTTGATCCCCTGACTTGCTGATAATGGTTGAGTGAGGGATATGCTAGGTCATGAGGTTACAGATTGTGCTGGAGTGCAATTCTGCTGTTTATGGCCCACAACACCACCTGGATGCCCAGTCTTGAGTTGTTAGACTTGTTTGAAGTCTGTCCCACTTAGCATGGTGATAGTGCCACGCAATACAGTATTAGTTATTCTCAACGTGAAGGTGGGACTTTGTTTCCACAAAGACTGTGCAGTGGTCACTCTGACTGATACTGTTGTGGACAGATGTGTCTGCAGCTGGCAGATTGGTAAGGATGAGGTCAAGTATGTTTTGCCCTCTTGTTGGTTCCCTCACCACCTGCCACAGACCCAGTGTAGCAGCTATGTCTTTTAGGACCTAACCAACTCAATCAGCAGTACTGCTGCTGAGCAACTCTTGGTGGACATTGAATTCCCCCACCTAAAGTGCATTTTGTACCCTTACCATCCACCGCACTTCCTCCAAGTATTGTTCAACATGGAGGAGTATCAATTCATCAGTTAAAGGAGGATAGTATGTAGTAATCAGCTGGATTTTTCCTTGCCCAAGATTTCATGAGGTCCACAGTCAATGTTGAGGACGCAGGGCAACTCCCTCCTGACTGTACCCCACGGTGCCACCACCTCTGCTGGGTCTGTATTGTGTGTGGGACAGGACATATCTGGGACATGGTCATTCTCATAGAATCATATCCTACAAACAATGTCAGGCTGTTGCTTGACCAGCCGGAGACAGCTCTCCCAATTCTGGCACGAGCTTCCAGATGTTAGGAGGACTTTGCATTGTCGACAGGGTTGTTTCCGCCATGGTCATTTCCAGTGCCTGTGTTGATGCTAGGTGATCCATCTGGTTTCATTTCTTTGAGACTTTGTAGCAGTCAGTACAAGTGAATGACTTGCTAGGCCATTTCAGAGGGCAACCGAGAGTCGACCACACTGCTGTTGGTCTGGAGTCACATATAGGCTAGACCAGGTGAGGATGGCAGATTTTCTTCCCTGAAGGACATTAGTGAACCAGATGAATTTTTCCAACAATCAAAATTAGTTTCACTGCCATAAGTAGATTCTTAATTCCAGTTTTTTTTAATTGATTTCAAATTCTACATCTGTTGTGAGGGGATGCGAATCTGGGTCCCCAGAACATAAACTGAGCTTCTGGATTAACAGCCACCCCCTCCCCAGAAGGAGGTGAAGGCTAAGAGAAGAATTGAGAAACTTGGGGCCTGGGATGGGGGTGAGGGAGGAGGTGTGGGGGCAGGTGTAGCACTTCCTGCGGTGTCTGCAGCATTTCCCGCAACTCATCCCTCACACCCCGTCCTCGCAGCAACAACCAAAAAAGAATCCCCCTCGTCTTCACGTACCACCCCACCAACCTCCGGATCCAACGCATCATCCTCCGACACTTCCACCATCTGCGATCCGACCCCACCACCAAAGACTACTTTTCAGCCCCACCATACCCGGCACTTTTCCCTGCAACCGCAGGAAGTGCTACACCTGCCCCCACACCACCTCCCTCACCCCCATCCCAGGCCCCAAGAAGACTTTCCACATCAAGCAGATGTTCACCTGCACATCTGCCAATGTGGTATACTGCATCCGCTGTACCCGTTGTGGCCTCCTCTGCATCGGGGAAACCAAGCGGAGGCTCGGGGACCGCTTTGCAGAACACCTACGCTCGGTTCGTCATAAACAACTGCACCTCCCAGTCGCGAACCATTTCAACTCCCCCTCCCATTCCTCTGACAACATGTCCATCCTGGGCCTCCTGCAGTGCCACAATGATGCCACCGAAGGTTGCAGGAACAGCAACTCGTATTCCGCTTGGGAACCCTGCAGCCCAATGGTATCAATGTGGATTTCACAAGCTTCAAAATCTCCCCTCCCCCTACCGCATCCCAAAACCAGTCCAGCTCGTCCCCGCCTCCCTAACCTGTTCTTCCTCCCACCTATCCCCTCCTCCCACCTCAAGCCACACCCCCATCTCCTACCTACTAACCTCATCCCGCCCCCTTGACCTGTCCGTCCTCCCTGGACTGACCTATCCCCTCCCTAATTCCCCACCTACACTCACCTTTACTGGCTCCATCCCCGCCTCTTTGACCTGTCTGTTTCCTCTCCACCTATCCTCTCTATCCATCTTCTATCCGCTTCCCGCTCTCTCTATTTATTTCAGAACCCCCTTCCCCTCCCCCATTTCTGATCAAGGGTCTAGGCCCGAAACGTCAGCTTTCCTGCTCCTATGATGCTGCTTGGCCTGCTGTGTTCATCCAGCTCGACACCTTGTTATCTCAAAGTCTTAGTGAGGTCACATTTGTAAAAAGGGGAAAAGAAAACCTCCCAGGGGCCGAGGTTTGGTATCAATCTCATTAGCATTCTTTACAATCAATGACATCATCTGAATGTAAATGAGGTGAGATTGGAGGCTCTTTGAATAAATCAAAGTTGTCATTTTTGGTCTTTTTAACAATCTCTTTTTTATGAATTTTTGTTTCCTAACTACACTTCTCTGTAATTTTTGTTTAATCACCCCCTGCCCCCCAAATACAGTAGTTCGATTGTGGTCAACTTTAGTGTATTGGAAATTAAGAAATGTGCTGTTGACAGACCAAGCAATTAGAATATATATTATGTAACTTATTAGCTATGAGCAGCAGTTGAACTGATACTCTCGGCCTGACTTCTAGTTATACGCTAACTTTGTTTTTGCCTTGTTAGTAGTGGTTGGCCACACTGGGACACTGTCATGTTCATATGGCCAATTACAGTTGAATGTACACCCGAATTAGACCGTCATGGCATATGTACATTTCAAAACCACTTCAGGTAAAATCC